GAGAGAGAGAGAGAGAGAGAGAGAAAAAAAAAAAAAAAAAAAATTTGGCATGATTTTCAGAGAACATTTTTCTCTTCCCTCTAAATAAATATATAATAAAAGTAGATGGTATTTTTTGTTTTAGGTGATCTTAAAAATATTAAAACTTGTAATTAGTGTTAAAACTAGTATCTAGGCCAACATTCTTTTACATACAGATTAACCAGACACTTGTTTTTTCAAAGATGCTACCAGCACATCTTGCAACTGAGGTCATCTTCAACCTACAATTGGCAATTTAATGACTGTTGAAAGTTACGAGAGACTCAGGAAAAAATTGCTTCCAATCTGTCCTTGAAGTTCTGATTCCCCCATTATCCCAAAGGTCATGTGATCATATTTTAGGCATTTGACAACCTGTTTGTACTTATAACTGGTTGTCAAGAGTTCTGTAATTACATGATTGCCATTTACAATCTTCTCTGCTCATTTCACCAGAAATTCAGTGTGGAAACCTGCAGAGAAAGCTGCTGCCGCTTGTGGAGAACTTCCCCTCCCCTCTTTGCAGGGAACATTGGAGAAACAAAGTTTTTTGGGATACAAACTTTTCTCCAAGCCAGTGCCAGAGATTCCCCCACGCACCATGCAGAGGAGAACTTTGGTGCTGGGCTGGAGAAAAGAAGCTCGCATCTAGATGATCTGAGCTTCTTCCCAACCTTTCCAGCCAGAAAGCTAGCAAATGTGATCTTTCTAAAAGCTAGGTATGCTTTTTCTAGGTTTTATACTCTTAAGAAAGATTGCACTTGTTAGCTTTCGGCCTGAAAAACTAATAAATGCAAAGTTTCTGAAGAGTAGAAAGGCTCTTCAAAGAAGATCCATCAGAGATCTGGGATTCCTTTTTTCACCCCAGTGTAATGGTTCTCTTCTGCACATGGAAAGGAGCAGATGGCCTGTAGTGGGCCAAAGAAACAAAGCTTGAATCTTTGGGATCTGAGTTTGTAAGACTCAGTGCAGGAATTTTCTTTTGGCAGGTAGCTCTTTTTTTCTTTTTAAGAAGAGATTGGAGAACCATTTGTCTGAAATGGTATAAGCAGTGGGTTAGACTAGAAGACTTCCAAGGCCCCTTCCACCTCTGTTATTCTATTATTCTCCTTTGTCTACTTGACCTGTCTGGTGACTTAGCATTCACAACTCAAAGTGCTGGGATTGTAATTGTTGAATTAAGTGGTTATATCAGCACCTCACTTAACTACCACAATTACCTACAACCAAAATTCCAGGCCCAATTGTGGTTTACAGTCAAGGACTATTGGTAATGAGTTCCAAAGTTTGGTAAAGATGAAGTAGCAGTTTGGTTCTGTTCATGTAGTATGAATTAAAATTGAATAGGATAGTTTGTGGTTTGACATATTGCAGGAGTGAGGCTACTGTGTCAACATATTGTGTATACTACGCTATCGGGCTTATTTATTTCACAACATGATTATTGTTCAGGTACAACAGGTTATGTGAAAACCACAACTTGGTTTAGTGTTCAGTGCGTTGCTTGTTTTTCTGTTTCTCTGGAACCCATTGTCTATTCTGCTTTGCCTATATACTTGTAACATTTGCCAAGAGTAGTTTCATATGTGTCATGTTGCAGTAATCATAAGACAAGAATTGGACAACTCAGTGTGGACACACTCAATCCATTAATCAAATCAATATTTATTTGGTCATAAGTCAGCAGACACTCAGAAAAATTCTTGTTGTTGTTTGATAGCTACCTGCTCATTGTGATTGCAGGTGTATGATTTTGATTTTCCCGGTTCTGTTTCTCATAGACCAACTGCGCTGTAATGTGGCATGGCCTCCCTCCCCTGTTTACAGGCCGTTGGGATGATAGGAACTGCCAAGAGGAGAAACATATTTTTATCTGCCAGAGAAGCAAAGGTAAGAGTTAGGAATAATGCAAGAAAATAACATTGGCTTAAGTTATGCTTAGCAGAGAGCGCTTGCGATAATTTTAATTCCTTGTGCCAAGGATGTAGGCATTCATTCCTGTTGTCCCCAAGGGAGGAAGAATTATATTAGTCTGTGGCAACAACACAGATAAAATAATCTGGTAGAATTTTCAAGACTGGCCAACGGTGAGAAAACAGTCTTTAACAATGGTCAGAAGTAGAATACAGACATTAACATTCTTCTCTCCTTTATCCTCATATGTCTTATCCTGGTCTAACTACGTAGAGGATGAGTGAGCATTCCTAATTAAAGAATTAAATATAAATGTTTTAAATGAGGGGGTATAATAGTATCTATGAATATAACTTGATTCTCTCACCATCCTTATACAGTGGCTTCCAGAAAGAACTAAAGTTCTATTTCACAGAAATGATAAGAAAGTAACCCGAAAATATCCAGTTTTTAGTGAAATGGAATAAAATACTTAAGAAACTATTTGATGATCAGCAAATTGCTACTAATTTTGAATAAAATTAATATTGCCTTGTTAATGGCTCTAAGGTATATTTGTAAAGTGTGACCAAGCTTTTATTTTCTTTTTCTCAAATTCTTCCTCCACATTCAAGACCCTACTCTAAATCCTTCTTCAACATCCTTCTTTCCTGTTCTAAACTCTACTCTTTCATATCTTAACAACACATACCGTATTTTGATGAAGCCACTCAAATGGCATGAAGCTGTGTTGTTATGTGAGAGTCTTAATGGAAGTCTAGCAAATGTGATGGAACCATTCACCCAGGCCTTCCTCACTCAAGTAGTCAGCAGCTTCCATACCCCACTTTGGATTGGATTGTCCAATGAAGAGGTGAGTTAACTATATTTAGAAACCACCGCATGTAAATCAAACCTGCCTTGCATGTAGTAGATGCAAAAAAAGGGAAGCATATCTAGGAGTCTGACATGATCTTGAGTTTATGTGTTGGCAAATTATTGTTCTGGAATAACAAATGGTGAAGGTATAAAAAAGTAGTGAATGCTGACTGATTTTCATTTCCAAAACCTCCTATGGAGAACTATTAACAATNCTTAACAAATGTTTCACTTAGCAGCAGAAACGTTTGGCTCAATTATGGTCATAACTTGATTACCTGTACTTGCCCAATTAATCTCTTTGATTTCATGGACTGATGAGTTCAACGAATGGGAAAAACATACCCATGGTAGATATAATGAGAGATGGAGCTCCTCTCCCCCGCCCCCCGCCCCACATTCTAGGTACCGTTGAATTATTTATATAAAGCTTCAACATGGGTAACCTCTTTTGTTATGAACATTTCTTAGGTTATTGTAGAACTGCAGTTTCCATTATATTCTTTCTCGGTAGATTTTTTTAAAGGCAGCAATTTCAACAAATATAAAGAAAAAAATAGTTTTTTTTTTAATCCCATGATAAAAAGCTTGAAATGTTTTTTTCTTGCTTTTTTCCCCAATTAGCAAAGTGCCAAACTTGGTATTCTTATCCACCATGGAGAAACTTTGTGCAATGCACCAAACTCAAAGAAATGTCCCTAGTGGTAGACTTCTTTCCTTTCTGTTCTTATTTCCTTGCTATTAAACTACTATAGTGTCTTCTCTCCCCACTTTCCATATTCTTTTTTAACAACTGGAATGCAATTAACCATTAATATGGAAATGTCTATAAAGTTCCGTTCATTTATATTTCATTTTAGTGGTGTGGGTCTACATGGCTTTTCAGACACAGCAGGTTCAGGAAACATCCCAACTTTCATATTTTGAGTTTTTCTCTGCCAGAATTTTAATACCAAGTCTTGGTAACATTTACTAGTACAGCAGTACAGAGCCCCTGTGCTCTGACATCCCTTGAACGAAGCTCATCATCATTTCTCCATCCTCTGCAGAAGACTGGGGTGACCAGAGATGCCTCACAGCTCTGCCTTATATTTGCAAGCGTACCAACATCACCACTATGCAGCCCTCCTTGCCATTGCTACCTGTACCAGCTCCTGGCAGCTGTGCCCAAGGCTGGCATGCGTTCATTAATAAGGTATTCTATTGTAAATAATAAAGGGGGACAATTTGAGAGGAATGTCTGTCTGTGCATCCTGTTTGAGCTGAATATGTGAGAAGAAAAGTAAGGTTTGTGGAGAACACTGAAACTATTTCTTCACAATATCCCTATTCAGGACACTTCCCAAAAAGTCTGAGTAGAGTTGCCCTTTCGCTACTTAATGTTTAGCATATAAGAATAAATGAGTCAAGGAGCCAGTGCAGTAAAATGGTAAACTATGGTCGATGAGACTTTTGACTGAAATCCTAGTATGGTTCACTAAGTCGTTACTGGTTGGTCTACATCAGGGGTCCCCACTCCCTGGTCCTGGGATTGGTACTGGGCCTGGCATGCCAGAAACAGGACCACACAAGCGAGTGAAGCCCCACCCCAAGACGTAAAACCACCACCCCTCCAATCTGCGGAAAAACTTCCATGGAACCAGTCCCTGGTGCCCCAATGATTGGGGGACACTGGTCTACACTACCTCACTATGTTGTTGCAGGAAGAAAAAGTGTTTTTAGAGAGAGGAATAATAAGAGGAGCAAAAGTAAATTACTATAAATAAATCTGCATCAAAAAAATTCCTCCACATCGTGATTTTTAATCTTTCTCTTTGTTGTTAAAAACCATTTATAGTGCTTTAGGATCTATAATCAAGAAAAAGTGACATGGCTGGAGGCAAAACAGAAATGTGAAATTCAGGGAGGTATATTGGCTACTATCTCCAACCTTCTTGAGCAAGGTAAGTTTTATCCAAGGGTGTTTGGGTATGCGTACATGGCGAGATGCTTGTTCCGCCTCTGAAAAATGGACAGGTTTTAGTCCCAGAATAGATACGAGAGTTCTTCAATAGAAAAAATAATCATAAGGGAGAGTGGTATTTTTCTTGGAAAATTCACCTAATAAAGTGTCTATGGGGAGTGAGGGAGGCAGATAGTGAAACTAGTGTGGTGACTTCACAATGCAAGTTCTTTTTGTACATTTGGTGAGAGGTTACATGCGCATACTAGAAGGGCAGAACTTACGTTGCAACTACACAATACTGCATAATCTCTTCTGAAATCAGGAATAATATCGTGATTGGCTATGGGTTTCAGTAATAACTAAAACAAAAGTGCAAGCTTTTCTTGTTGGTAACAGCTGTCCCACTGAAAATGGTTTCTGTATCAATTCGGAATTTTCAGAACACTAAGATAAATAATGTTCCAGTTCACAGGAAGGGAAAAATAGTTTTTTTAATCAATGTGTGATAGGCAGAGATCCATCTGTTTCTTTCTTTGCCTCTCAGCATCATAGTTAGTAGTCTTTGGTAGGGATATCTGTCTTATTCCCAAACTGCTCTTATTTCTGCTTAGAACAGATATATTCTCTGCTACAGTAGAATTTATTTTGTTGAGTTCATTCCAGTTATATCTGAAGTAGTAATAAAGAATAGAGGGCCCTGAAAATATAAATACTGCTTTTTTGTTAGCAGTTGAACAGCTAAACTAACAGATTGTCTATTCTAAACAAAACAATTGTAGAATAATTGTAGCAGTCTCATTATTACCAAAAGACTGCTCAAGTCTATGCCAAAAAGTGACAGGATGAGTACCATTTCAGTCCAGGGCAAGCCTTTTTTAATGCTATGGTCCAAGCATAGATTCAGAGGAGATAATATTGAACAATTCTGAGCTGATGTCTTTGGTAGTATCAATGTTAAAATAGTATTCTGATGCCATCCAATGAAGCTCATGATGTATAAAATCTGTTAGCTTTTAATTCTCCTTTATCTTGAATGTTGATCAAGGATTGCAGTGAAACAGAGGTAACAAAGCCAGGGGAGGACAGCAATACTTTCTGGGACAATGGGGAAAACATTAATAGAGGGACTAGTGGAATTCAACTTTTGAGTTCTTAGCTCCATTTAGAAAAATAGCACTATATTCATTGCTTTTTCTCTAATCGCACACCAAGCACTTTCCATTCCTTTGTTTCTTTCTTGCAGCTTTTATAACAACTCTTCTTCCAAATGTGACCTTTGATATATGGATTGGCCTCCATGATTCCAAGAAGGAATTTCTCTGGGTAGAATCTGAGGCTGTCAAGTATGTGAACTGGGCCCCTGGAGAACCATCTGGATATGGAACATCCATTGCTAGTGATCAGCCGGTGAGTTGAAGTTTTATTCCTAATAGCATAATGAAGGCTCTGGATTAAGTAAAGTACAGAAAATATATTCAGTCAAACAGGATTGCAATTTCTGTTTGGACTTCCCTGCCAAAAACTGCAGAAGAAAAGGCTATGCCTTATGTATCTCTAGAATGCGGCTTTTGAATGCTGACTTCTGAATTTTTGAAGTTGGTCAATCATAAAAATGGGCTTTTGTGTGTTTTCATAAACAAATGACAATTTGTTTATTTGTCTTCAAACATTTGGCACGGACTTCCTGGGGGCGTGGCCTGTTGCCGAGGAGAGCTCCACTGAGCTCCTCAGAGATCTGGTCTATATATCTAAATAAGAT